GGTTCGCGAAATCATTTCCTGCTAAAGAAATTAGCACATTTTTTGGGAGAGCCCGTACACAAGGTCTAGGCGCGTGTGAGGGACTGTCTTGAAATGGGAGGAGGGTGGCGCACGGGTGGGAACATATACCCAGAGTTACAGTCTCACAGCTTTCCTGTTTGCTGAGATGAAAGTGGGTGACAAAATGCACTCGCTTTTGAACACACACACAAATATAGCGCTATAACGCTGCTACAGCTAGCAAAATCGCATGTTGTCGAGAGGCTGTCTAGCGCTGCTATAATGCTGTACAGCAAAAACGCATAAAAAGCAGTGCAAGAGAACGGCCCTGAAGATAACTGGACGCTACAGTATTTCGCGTGATCTACGCAAACCAGCACTTATTTTTCCTTCAGTACTTCATTTGAACTACTCTCGAATCTCGAAATTTTTAAAAATTGCTGAGCAGTGAATAAGATAAGACATAGATGGCACCTTTGCAAAGCTGTGGATCTTCATCATCAGCGCCGGTGCAATCGGCTTCACCATCACAAACCCAGACTTTTTCAATGCACTGATTCGAGCTACATTTGAACTGCTCCGGATTCGGGCATTTGAAATCAGCTGTAAAATTTTTCAGCTATTCCTGCATATATATTTTACTTGTTGGGAAGTTTTTCCTCTTGAATGTAGCTTAAATGTTTTTTAAACTTTTTAGCAAGCTTTTTCAGTGCACATAAAGTTCGACTCTATTTGGTGAAGGGATGCACCATGCAAAAGAAAGAAAATAATCTGTAGCGCACACCTGATCGCTTGATCGTGCTTTTTTGTGTGTTTAATGCAGCAATATGAACGCCAACAGCATGAATACTGCAGTGTTGAACCAAGTGAAATTTCATTTTTTAACTTATTTGATTTCGAAGAGGGTGGGATGTCGAATTCGTTGACATACCAGAGCTCGAGACAAGAGAAAACGCTAAAGCTTATTTTAATTTTACGAGCATGTACATTTCAGATATTTCCATTATCTACTAAAAAACCGAAAAGAATAATCACCGCATGCCTCCAGCGCTTCATCACTACCGTCACCGCAATCGTCGTCGCCATCACAGAGATACGAGTGTGATATACATTTTCGATTACGTCTACATTCGAATTCCATGACACTGCAGCGGGAAGATACATTGCCCTTCGGTTCTTCCTCTGAAACAAAGCATTCTTTTTGCTTTGCGCCGAAAAGAAAATTAACGAGCGTAAACCAAGAATGATTAGTAGCAAATGAATGATTGATACCATAGCTAATTAAGCTCAGTGCATTTATCCATTTTTGCATATATGCAAACCCAGGCTGGAACGCATCAGGCGGGCCGGTGCGATTATGCGTTTTTGCATATATGTAAATTGCAAAAACGCATATTGGGAAGGGCCTGTCTGTGTGTG